ATGACTTTATTATTAAATAACTTCTCTTATTATTTTTCCAGGAGTGTTTCATTAGCTCTTAATTGCTCTTGACACTTTGGAGTGGATTATAAAGTGCTGATGGGGCCTGTCTCTGAGTTGAATTCAAAGACACCAATTGCTATGATGAAGACAACCTGAGAATATAAATTCAGATTTTATTTTTTTTTTAACTGAGAAGAAGGTAAAAACAAAAACATTTGGCTTGAATAACTTTTATATACATATATATCTATATATATATATATCTCCCCTTACCCCCACACCCCCTGACCACCCCACACTCTTTTTTTCTAATTGTAATCTGATACCAGCAGGTACACAGATTAAAGTTGTAACTACAACAATAAGTCTACTATAAACCGTATCTGTTTGGCATTGTATTGCAGTCATCTTTCCCACTTAATGATGCTCTGATAGAATAGATTTTGTTATACAGCTTTCTTAGTATTTCACTGTGATTTATTAACCTAAGACCGAGCTCATCTTTCCCCTTCTGAACCCACTCCTTCTCCAGTTATCCTTGTGTCCCTTCAAGACAGCCTTGTTTAAAAGACCCTCTTCCTCTCCATGTCCATTGCTACTGACCCTGGTTAAAGGACTTACTGTTTCTCAACTGGATGGCTACCCTGGCCTATGTTCCCCCTGCTTCCAGCCAGTCTTCTTGCTAAATAAACCATCCTATGCCCTGGAGGCAGAATAATTTCTCTAATAGTCAGATCATCTCACTACTCTGGCATACACATTCACTGGCTCTCCGTAACCTACAGAATAAAAATCATACTCCTTTACAGGATATACAAGAGTCTACATGATCTAGCCTCAGTCTACTTTCCAGTCATTCCTACAAGTACTCCCAGCTTGTCACATAACCCTCATAACCTAGATTCCAGCCGAACCATACCACTTGTGATGCTTTACATATGCCTTGCCACTTCCCAATTCCATGACCCTGCTTATAGTCTCCTTCCCGCTGACATGCTCTTTTCCCTCTCCACATCCTCAAGTCAAGCTCAACCACCACCTCAATCATAAAACTGTCACCAAGCCTTAATCCTCACCTACTGACTCCTAATGGGAAGAGTCTTCATCTGCTGTTGATTAACCCATTCTGCCATCTTACTATAATTTAGTCCTAAGAAAACTCATGTCATCAAAGGTCATGTTTTCAAGGGGTTATCAGCTAAAAAGATCTAAATTTCACATGGTAAAGTTATTCTGCCTGTAGAAATTTCAATAAGGAGTTTTATAAAACCTCAGTGAGCAAATGCAGTATTTGATGCTATACAGCTTCAGCTCCAGAATAATGGCTTTGCTTCTCCAATTACCAGAAATGCCTTCTTTATATTCATTATTACCCACTATTACCACAAGAAGACAACACAGTGACACTCTAAAGAGCATCTATGTATCACCTGCCTTCAGTTTCCTGCCACAATACACAATGCAAATTACATTCCTCAGCTAATAAATTGCATGACTTAATTAGTGTTATGAAATCTTATCTATCCCATCAAAAGTGCTGCCTCCACCCCTTATACCATGCCTAGAAAAATTCTAAAAACATAGCAGCTTATTAATACTTACTGCTTAAGTTAAATTTAAAGGCAAAAGGAAGATTATTGTTATGATTATAAGCCATTTATAATGAACAGACTTGAAACACTTTTTTTTTTTTTTGAGACGGAGTCTCGCTCTGTCGCCCAGGCTGGAGTGCAGTGGCGTGATCTCGGCTCACTGCAAGCTCCACCTCCCAGGTTCACGCCATTCTCCTGCCTCAGTCTCCCGAGTAGCTAGGACTACAGGCGCCCACTAGGCCCAGCTAATTTTTTTGTATTTTTAGTAGAGACGGGGTTTCACCGTGTTAGCCAGGATGGTCTCGATCTCCTGACCTCGTGATCTGCCCGCCTCGGCCTCCCAAACTGCTGGGGTTACAGGTGTGAACCACCGCGCCTGGCTGAAACACTTTTTCAATACCTGTTTTAATTGAACAATGGTGAAATACTGTGGATATTCTGTCTGATTATAAGCCCCACAGTGGAAGAGGTTGCATCTGCCTTAATTAATTCAGTGTCCACAGAACATCTAGCACATGTAAAGTGGCCACTAACGAGTCATTGAATTAATAAATTGGTATATGGCTATGTCCAAACCACGTCTTTGATTTTGGCTTTGAAGTAGAAATAGGATATTTTGCTTAATTGTATATGGGGGTTAATTAGGTCTATTGTACATAGTAAACCTGACCATAGCATAATATGATTAAGATTATACAAGAGAACTAAATGCTTGATTGATTAGTCAGAGGCATTTCAAAATAACATATAACCCCAGGACCATCTGTCATCACTGGCCTGAAATAGAGGCAATGTAACTTTTGTTTAAAAGATGGCTATATAAGTAAACTTTAAGGATGTGTATGTTTGCGTGCAGTCAATACAAAAAAATTCAGTTCATTATGATTTTGCACTAACCACAGAAGCACTTTCTTTGGAACTGCTGGCATTCTGGTCACTGTAATACCACATAAATTGGAAGTCCTGGGACTGGGGAACATGTGACATCTCAGCTTTGCTTTTAAATTCCAATGTCAAAATGGTGGGTGGTAAAATAATGCTTATAATAATCTGTAAAAAAAAAAAAAAAAAAAAAGCAAAACAAAGTAGTAGGGACTATAAAAGCACATACTAGACAAATAACAAAATTAAGAATTTCAATGTATAGAAAATGCCAGACCCATCCCAGTTCAATTTTCATCCTGTTTCTATAAATAATTTTTTGACTCAGCAACTTCAGTTCTACTGTCTCCCTCAGAAATACTCATGAGTACAAGCATTTGCAGATAAGAATGTTCATTGCAGGACTTTTTGTAAAAGCAAAACACTGGTGTCAACCTAAATGTCTATCTAGAGAGGGACAGCTGGTCTGGAATAAGCTTTCCTCCTGTGCAACCATTAAAAAGGCAAAGGCAATGTTGAATATAATGAAAAGGTAGCCACGCTACATTGTTAAGTGAAAAAATCAAATTACAGTTATCTCTTGGTATCCAATGGGGATTGGTGCCAGGACACCCCTGACCCCCGACCCCAAGGATACCAAAATCCAAGGCTGCTCAAGTCCCTGGTATAAAACGGTGTTGTTGTATTTCCATATAACCTGTGCACATCCTACCCTATACTTTAAACCATCTCTAGATTACTTATAATACCTAATACAATGTAAATGCTATATAAATAGTTGTTATACTGTATTGACTTTTCATTTGTATAACTTTTAATGTATTGTTATTTATTTGGGGGTGTTTTTCCAAATATTTTTTATCTGAAGTTGATTAAATCTGCAGATGTGGAACCCATGGATATGAAGAGCCAACTGTATAGAAGAACATAGAGTGATCCCATTTTAATTAAAAAATAAAAGTAAAAACCTTAGCTATTTATATGCATATATATGCATTTAAAAGTTTAAAAATATGTATACTACACTGTAATTATTTACCTCTAGAAGTAGCAGGACAGGGCAGTGACAAGTATTATTTTTCAGTGAGCACACTGCTTAATGATATTTTAAAGCCATTAAGTACATATTACCACAAAAAACACATTAAAATTTGTTGATATTATAAAATCAAGAATCTAAAAGTATACCATCACCTTCTGTTAAATCCATCTCTCATCACTCACGTGTCTTTTCCCTACTAGTAAAACCCAAGGAAGGTATAGATCCAGACATCCACAAGTTTTTTTCATTATATTGCTATTATTCGTGAATTACTAACAGTCTTTTCAAAAAATTTTTTTAAGTTCAACTTGCATGGCCTTCCAAGGTAAAGAGTTTAAAAGATTTAATAAATGCTCTGATATCAACTTGATGAACATTACCTCTTTCAAGCTAAAAGTAGGCGTTAGTATTCTGGTATTCAGTGACCAAAAAGAAGATTTAACTTGTTTGACATTCATTATTAAGTATGGCAAACTGAAGTCATATCCTTGTCGGCCTTTTTTTTTTTTTTTTCATGATGAAATTATCTTTTGTCATCCTGTTTTAAAGCTTGATCTCCTGTGAAGATTCTCTGGACTTTCTCCAGTTCTAATAGGATTTTGTGTCTTTGTTTTTTGTCCAGCTGTAGAACCCAAAATACATGCAATCTTCTAGGTCTGGAAAAATTGCAGTTACCATGCCGAGTGGTAATATTGTACTAATTAATCTCTAGTCAACTTCCTGAAGAGGCCCCACATTCTGTTGCCCTTGTCCATTGCAAAACAACTGGCTTATGAGACAGTATTCAACAACATCAGTATCCAATCTCTAAGGGATAAGATGGAGCATTACAATGAGTTTTCCCATCCACATCTCTCTGCATGGTTTTCCTACAGTCTTTTTCTACTTGGAATTAGCCTAGCCAGGACATCTTAAATTATTTGCAAACCTGTTTCTAAAATTCACCAACCAAGCACTGATAGAGTAGGATCTAGACACTGCAGAAGAACGTTTGCTACAGCTCAGAGACTTTAAGTAGATAGCTCAGCCTTTTTTATTAACTCACTCTATGTTTTGGGGCAAAACATTTAGTCTTATTTCACTTAAGTCTTCTTTTTAGTATGAAGTATATGAAGAACAAGAATTCATTAAGTTCTCAAAAATAAGGATTTCTAGTAAACTAGAGTACATACAGGACACAAACATGAGGAAAATTATTTCTCAAACTACCAGCTATCTATATCTTATCTCACTCCCTGAACATTGAACTTCTGTAGCTAGAGGTGAACTCATTCACATCTCTAATTCCTCAGTTCCAAGGGTGCAATCAAAGCAGATCATTGGAGAACTTCTGAAAACAATTACTGTTTCTGATATTTTCTTTAAAAGGATTTATGTTGAGATCCTTTTTGGTTGACATTTCTCTTCTTTCTATAATTTCATCAGTGAAAAAATAGTCATTATGTTTGGGACACATCATATTTTTAAGAACTCTAGGAAAAATAAAATTAAAATGCAAAATACAGACTTATGTAGTTCTTAATACTCACTCTGTGTCTCATTTTATTTGGTTTCATAAGTATGTGTACTCCTTAGGCTTGGCCATAACCTAAAGCCTTTAGACTTAGGTTTGATGTCAAAGGTAAATGTCCTTAGCAGTCAACTAAATTATTCTTGATAATTTAAGATAACAGATGAGGCTGAGAATTTTGAGATGGTTAGTCATGTGAACAAATGTATTGGAGGGCAGCCTTATGAAACAGTCACTTATTCTCTCAAAAAAAAAAAAAAAAGAAAGAAAGAAAACCACACACACACACACACACACACACACACACACACACACACATTGGGTGAGCAGAACAACAGAAGTTATTAATTTTATTTAGTTTATTATCTGTTAGTATTCTTACACTGAAAAAAAATTCACTAAAAAGTCTCATTTACTTTTGTTATAATTATTAGAGGCAGTAGCAACTAGTAATAATGAAATCTTACATATGTTTGTCTACACTTTTAACTTCTTCTAACCACCCTCATCTTTGTGGTGGACAGGGCAGGTACAATTATATCCATTATTCAAAAGGAAACTGTGGCCATGGGAGATAAGTCGTCTTCACAGATTCCTCTGGGAAGACCCCAGATCTTCTGTGAGAATCAAAGATATCAACTGGGATGTGAGGCCGATCTGGCTGTGACATCTGTCATCCCATTGGTCGCCAGGGTTGATTCGGCTGATCTGGCCGGCTAGGCGGGTGTCCCCTTCCTGCCTCACCACTCCATGTTCATCCCTCCCAAAGCTGCACGCTCGGGTGGTCGCTCAATCGCAGAAGATGACCATCCTGACAGAGGACCAATCTTCCATCAAGGGTACAGGAGGAGTAGCTGCGCTCCCCTGCTAGAACCTCCAAACGAGCTCTCAAAGATACTAACTGGTTTTCCTGAAGACACACTTCTGGAAGAAAATGTAACTCGTGTACAGAATTTTATACAAAACTAACATTAAACTCCATAAAGCAAGTAAAGTAAATTTACCTTTAACCAAGAGTTCTTCCTCATTTTCAGGCGCCCCATCCACATGTCCGTCAGTAGCATTTGGGTACAAGTATGTGAAACAAAGGGTCGTAATCCTCCCGACACGGCCAGTTTCAGGCAGGTCGAATTGCTCCAGTTCCTGAGTTCATACGTCAACAGCGTCATGGCCATGCGCTCATTCTGCTTGAATGCCTTCTCCAACAAGTCCAGAGCCAGCTGGCCAAACTGTCTGCCATGAAGGTGGCAAATGAAGAAAACAAAGGCAGGTGAGAGAGCTGCATTATTAGAAACATTTTAGAACATTTAGAAACATTGTAAAAGATTGGATGTGAGGCTCAGAAAATATCAATTCATAAGGCTTCTTTCAAAAAAAACAAAAAAAAGCCAACAACACCAAACAGCAGATTAATAATCTTAGTTTCCAGAAACTATTTGAAAGGAATTACTGCTCACTAATGAGATTTTTCTCCCTTTCCTGAAGGAACAGAACTAGGAAGTTTACATTGTAGCATACAGAATTTAATTTACACCTAAGCTATTCATGGGGAGTAGCCACTCCACATTATTGGACATAGCTTGGTTTGGGACTTACACATAGGCTTATACATAGCTTGGTTGGGACTCCCTGATAAGATCTAATAAAGTTTTGTTTTTGTTTGTTTTGTTTTGTTTTGTTGCTTTTTTGGACAAAAAAGACCATTCAGAACCCAACTAGCAAGTGAGGAAAGCTATGGAATCACTTTTTTTAAAAAAGATTTTATAAAATACCTACATGACTTAAGAAAGCTATAGACCTAGACCTAGAGACACCCTCATGTGATTTTCGAGGAGAATGTTTCTTCTGAAAGGTAGACATTGTCATTCTCTGGAATTTGGGTTTGTTTTTTTTTTGGTAGAGACAGGGTCTTGCTATGTTGCCCAGGCTGGTCTTGAACTCCTGGCCTCAATCAATCCTCCCATCTTGGTGTCCCAAGGTGCTGAGATTACAGGTGTGAGCCACTACACCCAGCCTGGGAATTTTTTCTTTTTTTTTGTGATGGAGTCTTGCTCTGTCGCCAGGCTGGAGTGCAGTGGCACAATCTCAGCTCACTGCAACCTCTGCCTCCAGCCTGGGAATTTTTTCTTTTTTTTTTTTTTGATGGAGTCTTGTCCTGTCGCTAGGCTGGAGTGCAGTGGCACAATCTCAGCTCACTGCAACCTCTGCCTCTTTTTTTTGATGGAGTCTTGTCCTGTCGCTAGGCTGGAGTGCAGTGGCACAATCTCAGCTCACTGCAACCTCTGCCTCCAGCCTGGGAATTTTTTAAATCAAAATTATAAATTCGTTTCCATTGATTCTAGCTTTCATTCTTTCTTCACTACTATAACACTTTAGTAACTTAAAAACCAAAAGCATTTTTAACTTCTATTTTCCACCATTACTCTCTGGTTCTTTAACAAAATGCATTTATTTGTTTTCCCTCCTGAGAGATACTTAATGAAAACAATGCCTTACTTTAATTTAGCATCAAAGAGTTCTGAGTTAGGGGGCGCTTTCAAAATCATTAATTGAACATTTCATAGGAAACTAAAGCCCCAAAATCTGGTCAACTGACTTGTCTAATTAGTCAACAGCTGGACTAGAACTCAAGTCCCCTGACTTGAAGGCCACCTCTCCTTCCTTTACTTCACAAAGCTCCTTAGAATACTTGAAGACCCTTTTAATAGGAGAGTCCATAAAATGCATGGCAGTAAGTCCATTTGTCCTACAAGTTTAAAGATGAGAGAGATAAAAGTGTCTAACCATTCTAAGAAGTGTTGATGTTTAGTATGAAGTGAAGAGAGAACACTTACTTTGAGTAATTCTTCAACTCTTCTGAGGCATCATCCACCATGTGACTCTCCTTAGCTTCATGGGCCATTGCCCGGTAGAGGATACACGCAATCACTGCTTTAACCGTGGCCTCCTCTCCATGCTGCCAGAAGAACATGGCCATCTTCTGCCTTTTCATCAGCACAGCCCAAACCAGCAGGTCACTGTAAGGGTAAATAAAGCCAGTAGACTCAGGCTCATCTGATACATTTTGTTCTTTTGACTTCTTCCTTGATTTATGAAGGACTACAGACTTTTCCTGTTGGAAAATAAAATAGGAATGAGTTTTCAAATACTCAGATGCATGATGTTTTACCTAATTCAACACAGCAGGTGTCCTACAGATTTTTTTTTAAATCACTACTGAAAAAGAGATGGAAATAATAATAAGATTCTATAAGCCAGCAAGCAAAATTTAGACCATAAAAGGTAATCTATTTCTTGTTGCATTTAACAGATCCAGAGTCCCTGAACTGATATATCTTAAGGTCATTTAGCATAACTTAAAGCAGTACCTCTTTAGGATATACCTAGAGTGCTTAATATGAATTTGAAAGATGGGTGGGTAGGGGGAGTTATAACAATACCTGAGAAATGGTTGCATCTTCCTCAAAATAATAACCACAGTGCAGTATGATGAGTGCTGAATTAGAGACTACATGATAACTTTTAATTTCTCAAGGAAATGGGTCAAAATAACATATTGGATACATGAGAATGATGTATTTTTAAAAAGCTCTAACCTCACTTAGCAAATAGATTCATTATCTTTCCTTTGGGAAAACATCCCTACTGTAGCCAACATGTATTCAAACAGATTGATTTGAAGTTTCTTTTCCTTTAATTCTGATTATATTTATCAGCAACGGTAACAGGTGATCATGAAATACCATTCTCCACCTGATAAATCCCCACTCACCATGCCACTCTACCTCCTCACGTACTCCTATATCATTTTGTGTGTCTCTATCTCTGGGCTCATCATACTGCACTATGGTTATGACTTTGAGGAAGATGAGACCATTTCTCAGATACCGTTATATCCTCCCCTCCCCACCTACCTTCCAAGTTCAACCAAGCACTCAGTATAATGCCTGGCAAATACTAAAGATTCAATAATTATTCTTTTTAATTTAAGAGGTCATAGCAAAAAATTATAATCCATTTCCTCTATTTCTATAAATAAAAGGAATTCATGTTCACTGATGATGACCAACGGTAATTTTATGAAATACCTCTTTCATACCAGGGGCTATGGAAAGCAAACCTCTTTCAGCTAACATAATAACCATTTGCATGGAAATTCTTGAGCAAAAACATTTATTCTCAGAGTAAAGTGGGACTGGAGGAGTATAAGACTAGGAGGAATAACAATGTTGTACACACATGCACACACTCATCATCATCATCATTATCATACTGTAATATTAGATTTATGTTAATTTCAAGAAAGCCTCAAAAAGGAAACAATTTAAAAAAGAAGATGCAAAAGGTCAGTGCAACAGAGAAGTGAAGGAAAAGAAGGAAACAGATTTCATATCCAACTGGCCTTGGGGAACAGGACATCAGAGTATGGTGTTGGGTTAACGATCACATTTTTTAAGTACCATCCCACAGATCACCTGACTGAGTCACTGTCTAGACACAGCAGGGATGGCAACAAGGAAGAGAGGCTAAAGTGCAAGTCCAGAGCATCACTGCGCCTTTGCTCACTATTGGTACTGGATAGTTGTGTTATGCTTTTGACTCGCACCATCTGTTTATGGCACTTATAAATAGTCCTTCTATTTACACCTCCCTTTCTTTGACGTAAATGAAGAAATAGTCTCGAGTTGTAAAAAACATTTTTCTTTCAAGTCTAAAAACAAGTAAATGGTACCTTGACTTTGTATGGCTGTGCAGTTCTAATGAACTGGGAGTGCGGCGTGCTTTCTGCAGACTCATTTCTATTTCCTGAGAAGCGTCTCCGGTGCTGGGAAAGGTTTGGAACAAAGCTGGTCACTCTCTGGCACATGTTATTATTTCATTTTTAAAATAAGATAAAATGAGGGGAGAAGATTATAGTGGTCACAATATTTTATTTCTAAACAATAACACAAAACCAAATATAATGTTGTGTCCTACCAAATATCCATGCCTCTGTGTCTCATCCATGATTAGCACCCAACAAGAGCCTCTAATGATCTCATTGTGCATTTTGTTATTTCCTAACATCTTAGAGAACACACTCCTTTGCTCTTTTGTTCCCTATTATATATCTGCATTCTTTCACTATGTGGAAATTCCATTAGAATGAATGGATGTTCTCTCCCTGGAACAAGTTCAGAATAAGCAATAAAGATTTACAGTTCTGATAAGAAAAAATTCCCATTCATAAGCAGCTCCAAGGTTAAGGTTAAGACAGAAAGTTATGGAATTTCTCAGGTATTATATAATATCTCCACCGGAACTCCAGTGGCCACACCCAGCAACAACACAACTCACTGCCATTAGCATGAAATTTTTATCAACAAGAAACAAAAACAAAAGAAACATTCTTAAAGGGACTAACATAAAATATGATAAAAACCGTAGGTTTTGTTTTTTAAAATGTATTTATTTATTTATTTAGAGACTGGGTCTCACTGTGTTGCCCAGGCTGGTCTCGAATTCCTGGGCTCAAGCAATCCTCCTGCCTTGGCCTCCCAAAGTCTTGGGATTACAGGTGTGAGCCACCATGCCCAACCCAAACTATAGGCTTTGAACTGCTTTATTTAAGTTTCTGATTTGTTGAAAAAACCGAGCATAGAAATGATGAGGTGAAGACTTTTTAAAGGCAACACTCAAATTATTATTATTATTGTACTATAGAATTAATAGTGTCATTATAGTAATTATCATAATGACCATTATTACTAACGATGACTCTGCACCCTCTGTGTACCAGGAGCATGGATTTTTCATATATTATTTTATGTAATCCTTCTGACAAATTTATAAAAGGAGCATTACTATTCCCATTTATAGATGAGGAAACATGCACAGAGAAGTTAAGCTTATTGTTCAAGATTACACAGCGACTAAAGAGCAAAACTAGGAGGCAATCCTAGCCAGATGTCTCTGACTCCAAAATCATGTGCTTGTAACTACTACAGTCTAGTTTAATATGACACACAATCAACTCTGCACTCCACTGGAGACAATCCAAGAAACGGGTGACTTCATACTGGCAGGCCATTGGAAGAAAGGGCACTAAGGGAACTTCCCTAGCAAGCTCCACACTGAGCTGCACCAGCGCCACAGTCAGTCCTCCTACTTGCCACTGGGGATCTCACAGCAATGTCTATTATATTTAAATGAAGTAGCTGACCTCTTTACGTGTATCCTTATGCCTCTGAAATCTTAATAATTTTTCTGTGTCAGATTTGGGTTTCCTGTTTTGCTTTTTCATTTCTGAAAGCTAAGCTGGGCTTTCACGTCACTTGACTCTTTATAAAGGATCCCAAGTAGCTTGATATTCTATGCTGTTTATGGGATCTTACCCCAAACTGCCTTTCCAGTCTCCTCCCTTAAAACCATATGACACTGATTCTCCAGCAACAAAAGTCTCCTTGTCACAGCGGAAACATACCTGAATACCCAAAGGCTGTGCCCTTTACTGCTCCTTCTCTTTTCTCAACAAAAATATCCAAAACTACATTTTCTAATCCTCTCCTCATCTTCTAATAAGAACGAGTTTCCTCAGGTTGCTAATCCATAATGGCAATTTCAAGAAATAGGCAATGTTTCCTCTGCTAACTACTAACCAACAACTCTAATTTTACATTCCTAGACTCTTCAAACTATCATGGAAAATAAAATATGTATCACTTGTGTTTTTAAGGACAGTCTACACACATCTGTCAATATAATCACCACATGCTTATACCAAGTTTGTTATCTCCAGACTATGGACTGTGATGAGTTTACATATCTAATCTGATTAAGCTTTTGATATCAGTATTTTCAGAAGAAAAAGAAAGAAAAGGAAAAAAAAAGAACTGGTCATCTCTCCCTCTAACCTGCCTCATCACATCACTTCTAAGTCACTCTAGCATGTATTATATACTGTTTTATATTATGGCTAGTTATTCATAAATCTGTTGAAGAGTTTCCAACCTTCTGATCCTTATGCATCCCACGCCAACACTGCAACACTTAGTACAGTATACTTCACATACAGCGGATAACAAATGTCCATAAATAAAATGACCATTTTAGGAGCTATTTTTGTCTGAACTTCCCAGGCCATTTTTCTAAAGCAATTCCTAATCATTCTCAATTTTACTTAGGCACTTTTCAATTACTCTACCTTATGATTTCTGTAGAGGTCGTTGTAGAGGGCTCTGAAATGTTTTCTAGTGTAGCTGCTGCGATATGCTCTACCAATGAGGTATTCTACTACCAATCCAATGTCAATCAAGGTTATTCGGTAGCCTGAGAGAAGAGTATGCTGCAACAAAAACATGCCACGACTTTTAACTTTTAGTTATCTTCTTCCATTTCTCTTGCCATGCCATTAGAACATAATCAAATTCATTGCAAAGAGGTAGACATACCTTTTAAATATCTTTACAAACTGATTAATTTAAGTGACCAGCTATTGATGCAATCTGCCAGTTCAGAAGGAAAAATATCTTAGCCTTATGCTTTCTCATTTCATAGACATTAAATGTGTGCTTCCATCTATGCATGCTCTCTCTCTCTAACTCTTGCTCTCACTCTACTTATCATGCACACAAACATATATACACACACGTTTGAGTAAAATACATTTAAATGTTTTTTTATTCCATATGGAGTTCCTAACTGGAAGTAAGAGAAAAACATTAAACAAGTAGAAAAAAAACAAACAAATATGTATATAGAGAGTTTTTTTAACTAGAAATAATATAGCTACTCCAACAGAAGTAAAAATCATAAAGTCTACACTGAATGCGTGTGATCCAAAATCAACACTGGGTTAGCTTTTCAGCTTCTCTCTTTGTTGAAATGGATATAACACTTTGCACTGCACTGACGACATCATATGTAAAACAAGAACATGGGAGGAAGTAGAACAAATGAAAACAAGGAATAGAGAATGACAGAGTAAAATTCGATATTAAAACATAAGGCTTAGGCAGCCAGGTTCTTCCTTGAATTGAACTTAATTCAGTATAGACAGTATAGTGCTTTCTATATTTCAGGACATATTGGGGGTCTTTGTGTCTACAATCCACTTTCCCTATGGTCCAAAATCCCACAAGATATATTACAAGGGTATTGAAGTTGTCAGCGTGCATGTCTGTCTTCCTTTACAGACTGTGTGGAAGGGTCTGTCTTTGTCTACCCAGAGTTTAGCATATGCACTTGGCCGAGCTGAGTAACTATCTGAAACTCTATACAGGCATACCTTAGAGACATTGTGGGTGCAGTTTGAGACCACCACAATAAAGAGAATATTGCAATAAAGCAAAACAAACAAACAAACAAAACCATGAGACTGTGCCAAGACAAGTGTTATGGTCGGTTGGCAGGAGGGCTGAGTGGTAGATTTCCAAGTATGTGGGTCTTAGTCTAAATGAAAATTATTTTGACTCCTTAAATCGCACTTTACTACCTCTTCATAACTCTTCACTTTTGAACTGCCCATTTATAGTAAATTTTTAAAGGCACACAGAGTGTTGAACAAGGTCTCTGAAATGAAGATTGTGACTAATGTTCACAAAGCTTGGATCAAGAAATAAGGTTATATATGTACGAATGTAAATAATTTAATTTTTCTTTTTTACATTCATAATTTACTTTTTTCAAGGAATGCCAAAAGTAATGCTCTTATTGCTGCTAGTTAAAACATATTTAACCTAGTTCATCACTTTTTTACAGTTTACTGTGGCAGAGTTTAAGAAAAAAATTAAAGAAAATCATTTTCATATTGCACAAATCAATACAAACTAAATTTACATAAGTATGGACACTTTTGCTTACTGCTAATTTGCCAAGGAATAGGCGGGACACGGTGGCTCACGCCTGTAATCCCAGCACTTTGGGAGGCCAAGGCAGGTGAATCACCTGAGGTCAGGAGTTTCAGACCAGCCTGGCCAACATGGTGAAACTCCATCTCTACTAAAAATACAAAAAAGTAGCCGGGCATGGTGGCAGGCACCTATAATCCCAGCTACTCGGGAGGCTGAGGCAGGAGAATAGCTTGAACCTGAGAGGTGGAGGTTGCAGTGAGCTGAGATTGCACCATTAAACTCCAGCCTGGGCAACAAGAGCAAAACTCCATCTCAAAAAAAAAAAAAAAAAGAAAAAATTACCAAGGAAATGTCTTCCTTTCACTCTGACTCTCCCGCCACATCAACATAACCTGAAAGCTCACATTCCTTCTAACAAAATATCAGACTTTGGAAAAATAAGAGAATTTTTAAAATGTGCCTTGGATTTTAACCATAGTGACAAATAAAAAGTACTCCCAATGTTCAGGGGATGTGGATAAAATTCATTGGTAATGGAAAGACAAGAAACTGAGGTATAAAAGTTTGTTAAAGTTGGCACGTTTTGGTAACTAATGGGGAATCAAATACTTTAAGTTTGACCTAAATCACAGTTCATTGAGAACACCATGAGCAAAACATGACCAAGAGTATAGAACAGGGAGGGGAGCCACCTGACTGCCTAGAGCAATGCACACTCACAGAAGCAGCTAGAGAGTGCCGGAACTATCACTGACATCAAAAACAATGGAAATCACTTAATAGTCCTCCCATAAGGATAACGCAACCACAGAGTTCTTTACTTCCAGCTGGTATCATCATCATAGGCACCACCACTGTATCGTGGTAAGCTGAAGTCTGGTGAGAAGCATTGCATGTCTCTGATTCATGGCTTTTTATTAGCAAATATCACCTAACTGGTGGATCAAGTTTTTTAAAACATAAAGTAAACTAAGGAAAAAAGTCTAAGAGTGTGGTTTGTTGATGAAATTGTTCAAATCAAGGTAAAGAAGATAGGTAATTAACAAAACAATCCAAATCTGCATTGTACAAAGCAAAATTCAGTGACTCCTCCAACACAAAGCTAAGGCGATATATAAAGACATGTTCACGCCTTCTTAATTAGGTTACCTGTTTCACATCTTGGACGAGATGGTGCAAGAGTGTGTTAGTAGGTCCTTGTTTCTGAAATAAAGAACAAAAGGAGGAATTATTCTCTTTAATTACCATGTGCTGGGGGGTAAAACCTTTATTTCAGAATGCATAAGTAACTCAGAATACTGAAAGTTTTGTTCAACATTTTTAGTAACGAAGCTTAAGCCAATTAATTCTAAAGGTGTTTTCCAAGAGAAGATGTAATTATATGAAATATTTTTCAAAGCAAGATGCAAATATGTAGATAGTAAAGACTTCATGTGATAAGAGACAGAAATGAATCTTAGGTAATTGATTACCATCCTTTAACATACAATTACAAATCCTATCATACAAGCACATTCTATCAACAAATATTTATTGAAAACTTACTACGTTCAATCAGGGATTCAGACAAATATAAGCACTATTTTCCTGGAGTGTTTCTAATAGAAAAGAGTGGCTACTTACACTAAAAAATAACCAACAATATATGTGTGGGTTCAAAAAGAGTTACAAATAATTGGTACTCTAGGAACAAATCATTGTGAACTAACTGTAGTAATCAAGAAGACAAGACTTGAATAAATCATTGAAGAAAGAATAAGATTTAAAGGACAACGAAGGCTATTTCGAGAAGTGTGCATGGCTTGAGCAATTGGTGTTTTCACAGTGTGTGAGCCAGGCTAGTTTCAACAGAGGGTTTACATGGGAAAGGTACAGGAACAGTATTTTAATAGTGGCCTTAGGTTGAGATACTTCCAATAACTCAATAAAAGGCAATTTGTTCTTATTCACATTTTAGTCTTTATGTTTTTACTAGGATAAAACAGAATTGGTAAGAATGTTTCTCATTTGGTTGAAGAGTCTATCTATAAACTATCTTTGTACAAGAACATTCAAGGAGGTAAACAAGTCTTAAGCTGATCAATAAACAATTACCGGGCAAGGTGTCAGACCCCTGGCAACGGAAAGTCACTGGTTCACAGGTAGTAGGAAGAATTCACTGAAAACAGTATAGGTTTTGAATAAGGAAAGTTTTATTAGAAAGAAAGAATGCTAGAGAAGAGTGCAGAAGGGAGCTTCAGCAAGAGAGAACTGAGCTCACAGCAGTGAATTTTCCTCAGGAGTATTTATGGACCTTAAAGTGGGAGCTTAAGGGTAATTTGAACCATGTTAGCCACGTAGGTAACGATAAATGATTGCATTTGTAGACATTTTGGTGCCTTCATGTCAGGAAGGGTTGCACGACGAGTTTTAACATGCACGCAATTTGAAGATGTATAGAAATTCTAGTTACTTATAAATGTTGGGGAAAGAAGCCTGGAACTAGATCCAGCTTCAGATAATAGGGAAGTCCAATTACTTCTCACTTCCTCGGATAAGGAGTTTTGCCTTAATGGTTTGCTTGATGATCATTGCTCTTCTCGAATCTGGAGGGAAATGATTGATGAAATGTTCCATACTCACTGTATTATAGAGCTCTTCCAGTCGAGGGATGGTAAGAAAGCAATGGAGGTTCACTCCATATTCTATTAAGAGTTTCACAAAATCCACTCGATCCATCACTAAAGCATCTAACATTGCTTGTTCCAGGGCATCAGGCTTCAGAAAGTACAAATAAGAAATGTAAAGACAATTAAGAAAGTAGAAATAACTAAAGAATTACATGTTTTTGAACTCAAAATTTGAACACAAACGCAACAATTTTAAAATAAAGTCCTGCCATCAGTGGGTACAGAAAAAAAAAAAAGGAAAAAAAATTTAATTACAGTATTACTAGGTCAGGCTCAGGGGTGCACACCTGTAATCCTAGCCCTCTTGGAGGCTGAGGCAGGTGGATTGCTTGAGTTTAGGTGTTCCAAACCAGCCTCGGCAACACAGCAAAACCATGTCTCTACCAAAAATACAAAAATTATCCAGGCATAGTGGCATGCACCTGTGGTCCCAACTATTTGGGAGGCTGATGTGGGAGGAACAATTGAGGCCAAGGGGTCAAGGCTGCAGTGAGCCACGAATGCACCACTACACTTCAACCTGGGCAACAGGGCAGGACCCTGTCTTGAATGGATGAATGAATGGATGAATGAATGAATGAATGAATGAATGAATGAATGGTCTTAGTAAGAAATGTGCAGGACTTAAGTGAAGACATCTTGAATAAATCAAAAAACGTACCATGTACTTGGATGGGAAAACTGATTACTGTAAAGATTTCAAAGGTTCCCAAATGAACGTACGGGCTTAATGCAATTCTGATAGACATTCAAGGTTTCTTCTTCTTTTGTTTTTGTTACTTGTCATGTGTTCATTTAAACTCTACCTGGCTTCTGGGTACAAATGGTAAGTTGAACACGCTCATCTAATTTTTCTCCCACTCAAAACTTCATTAAAACTACAGTAAAGGGATTTTTGTTATGAAATAAATCTACAAGCACAAGGAGGACAAGAGTGGAGACAAGAATGCAACATTTTGGAAGCTGGAAAGCAATGGTCAAGTCGTAATTGACTGAGCAGTCACCAGAAAGCCAAATAGTAGAAGTGGAAAATGTCAAGAGACAAACAGATACTTACTACAGAATTCCAACAGCAACAAAATACATGCATACATGCTGAATCCCTAATGTTGGGGTCTCTCCAGTCATCTTTCCCCTTTGATTCCCATAACACTAGCAACAAGGCTTACACCTTCCAGTCAGGGAATTAGAGGACTCTTTTCTGGTAATGTCACCAATACAAGAGGAAAGACATGAATATGTTGGTATCTGGGGGCCCTTGAACTAAGGGCAGTCAGAACACCCTACTGTGAAACTCAAACCTATAAGCAAGCTCCAACTGCAGGCTCGGAATTTCCAAAGAGCTTTTTATCCACTACACTTTAACAAAAAGACCAAAACCAACCGAATCAAAAAACATCAACTAGCAGGAAGCAGACAATGTAAGAAGAAGAAAACTTCAAAAGAGCTCTCATTAATATCCTCAAAAAGATAAAAGAAGATATTGTATTCTGGGCTGGGCACAGGGGCTCATGCCTGTAATCCCAGCACTTTGGGAGGCTGAGGAGGGCAGATCACCTGAGGTCAGGAGTTTGAAACCAGCCTGGCCAACATGGTGAAACCCCATCTCTACTAAAAATACAAAAATTAGCCAGGTGTGGTGGCAGGAACCTGTATTCCCAGCTACTTGGGAAGCTGAGGCAGGAGAATTGCTTGAATCTGGGAGGTGGACGTTGCAATAAGCCAAGATTGCACCACTGCACTCCAGCCTGGGCCACAGAGCAAGACTCCATCTGGAAAAGAAAATATTGGATTCTGGATGCTAATGAAAAACCCAGGGGAGGGTGCAAACAGGAAGCAAATTTGCTCTCACAAATTAATAGACTGCCAGGCACAGAAAGACAAATTTACATGTGCTCACTCATTTGTGGGAGCTGAAAATTAAAACAATTGAATCCATGGAGATGGAGAGCAGAAGGATGGTTATCAGAAGCTA